ACAAAAATACTTCAGGAGCAATGTAAAAACTACTGTCTAGACACATTTTAAACAGTTTATTCACAATTAGTAAACCTAAATACTGGAGAAGCTCAGATACCAGAACATTTTTCCCGGACACTGAATAAGGTTGTCAAGGCAGGAAATTAAAACTGAAAGAGGGGTCGGAGGCAACAGTTGTAATGTTTTAGAGTTTTAAGAATCCTGCCTGGCCAGGTTGGCACAAGAGATAGACCCATGAATTGTGGATTGTGTTTTCAACCTCACAGAGAATGACAGTATCATGCATAATTAAATGCTCCCTCTCTCCACTCAGCAAAGTATATAATATAAAATGAACTCCATAACCCATCCTCCAGAATGCCTCCTTTTCATTACTGAAATCTTACAGTATGTTCTGAGGGAGGGGAACCTTTGACTCTCCAGATATTTTGGCCTATAACTTCCATAATCACTTTTAGTGCTGGCTGCGGATTCCGGAAGCTGAAATTCAAAAGCATCTGGAGAGCTAAAGTGCACATAATAATAATAATAATAATAATAATAATAATAATAATAATAATAATAATAATAAATGTTATTTATACCCCGCCTTTAGCCAAGGCTATCAAGGCAGCTTACATTTAAAAACAATCGCAAAACCCAAACAATACAATAAACATATAACCCCCCTTAAAATAAATTAAATTAAATCAACATTAACATTTGATTAAAAATACTAAGTTTTAAAACATCTAACCTAAATTAAAACATGCGGCACTCTCAGTAAATAGGAGAAGAAAAGAGAGAGCTATTTAGGACAAGGAGCCAATTAGGGAATAATATTATTCTGGGAACGCCTGCCGGAAGAGATTCGTCTTGATGGCCTTTTTAAGGCCATCTAAGTTGGTTATCTGACGGATCTCCTCCGGCAAGGTATTTCACAGTCTAGGGGCTGTGGCAGAAAAATTCCTCTGGGAGGTCGTTGCCAACCTAGTTTTTATTGGTTGAAGCAACTTCCTCCCAGAGGACCTGAGGGTGCGGGGCAGATTATATGGAGATAGGTGATTCCCTAGGTAGGATGGACCCAGGCCATGTAGAGCTTTAAAGGTCATCACCAACACCTTATACTGTGCTCGGAAACTAATGGGCAACCAGTGCAAGGATTTCAGAACAGGTGTAATGTGATCATTCTT